GGAAGCGGGGCTGGCCCAGGCGCACGCAGATCCTGGGGTGCTGCCCAGGCCACCCCCAGCCCCTTCTCTCCTCTCTCCCGTGTAGTTGCGTAAACACGCAGCGTGAGCATGTTTGCCAGCCAGGCCGTACGCAGCTATGTACTGATACTCATGATAATAATAAAACTTACTTAATTAGAAAATACCGGACATTTCTATGTCCAGTATTTTTGCCGTTTGTTTCCTGGACAGAAAGCTCAAATACCGGAATGTCCGGTTCAAAACTGGACACTTGGCAACCCTACCTCAAACACACACCAACACCTCTCCCCATAGAGCCTTCAATTCAGCAATGTCCTCCCCTCAAACACACCAACACCCCTCCCCTGTACAGCCTTAGGCACAGCAACTCTGTTCTCTCACCCCCCCAACATCCCTCCGCCATATATCCGTAGGCAGCAATTCCCTGCCCTCACAAACACCAACACTCCTCCCCTCACAGTATCAGACACACAACACTCAATTTTTTATGTTATTTCATATGAATAGACCCCAGATAATCCATGGATATTCATTTCATATCTGTGGGTATCCTCATCTGCAGATATGCATGTGGATATCCTTGGCTGATTCTTGCAGATATGGATGCAGATGCAGACACAAATTTGAATCTGAAACCCCGCAAATTTGCAGATATTACTGGATGTCAATGTGATACCCACAGACGTCCGCAGCTCATTTTTGTGGATCAAGGTGCAGATATACATTCTGTATCCATGCTTTCCACATAAGCCAGTGCTCTTGGTACTTCAGGTTCTGGTGGAATTTGGGGAAACTACAGATTTTCTCTGCGGCTGGTGAAAAACTCTTAAGAGTGACTCTTGGTCAAAATTGGCTAGTGCACATTTGTGACCTGAACTTCAAGTGCTCCATCAATGAGGTGCCAGTAGAGGAGAAGAAGCCCTGTCAAGGGCAGCATGGGCAAGCACACCATTTATGAGGGGTTCCCTAGTTTGAAACCCCTGGATTTCATACTTGAGGTCTTCTTAAGCTGCATGCCCTGACTCCAGAGGCAGCTCATCAGAGTTTGAGTTTGCTTGCCATTTTGCCTTTGGGGTAGGGAGTTGGTTATAAAAAGAGGAGGGAAGGGTGATGACGAATATCAGCAGAACTGACTTAAATGGGGCCTGTGCATTGTATAGTCTTGCCTTAATCTTTGTATTCATGCCTGTGAGTGTGAAAGAAGTTATTTGCATATATAGTTGCTTGTATATGTAATCACATTTAAGTTGAGGCCCTCAGCATGTTCTGTGAGTATCCTTGTGGCCCCCGGGGCTTCCAAAGTTGAGTTCTCTAGCTCATCCCTGACAGGTGTCTGTCTAACCTGCTCTTAAATATCTCCAGTGATGGAGATTCTGCAATCTCACTAGGCAATTTATTCCGGTGATTAATCCCCCTGACAGGCAGGAAGTTTTTCCTAATGTCCAACGTAACCTCCCTTGCTGCAATTTAAGCCCATTGCTTCTTGTCCTATCCCCAGAGGCCAAGGAGAACAATTTTTCTTCCTCTTCCTTACGATACTCTTTTAGATACTTGAAAGCTGCTCTCATGTCTCTTTTCAGTCTTCTCTTTTCCAAGCTAAACAAGGCCAATTCTTTCAGCCTTGCCTCACACGTCATGTTCTCTAGACCTTTCATCATTTGTGTTGCTCTCCTCTGGACCTCCTCAAGTTTCTCCACATTTTTACTGAAATGTGGCACCTAGAACTGGACACAATACTCCAGCTGGGGCCTAATGTGGATGGTTCATTCCCTGTCTAGGGGACACGAGAATGGGTGGGTTAATTTACAATCTTCCTG